CAAAAAATAAGATTTGTATCTGTAAAAATAAGATTTGTATCTGTAAAAATATTTACACAAGTAACAATCTTTTTTTGTTAAGGTCTGTTTACAGGTACAAAGCAAAAAGCTACGTGTAAATCTGTCTGCTCAAGTTTAAAACTTGCATGTGAGTTTCACTTTACAAGTACGAATTCTGACCAAGTTTTTCTGCCTCCAGCTGATTGGTCAATGTCAATCATAGATTTAACATCCAATCAGAGAACAGATGGGTTTGGCTGTCGTGCCTGCACATCTACTCAGATATATAGCTGTGTTGTGTTGCTATTGGATCATTTCAGTCACGTGACCCCCACTACAGCCCCGTTCAGGGAAACTCTGTTCATTTTTCTCATGTACAGTACTTTGTTCACCCATCCATGGAAGGAAAAACAAAAACGAGGAATAACAGGAGGAATGATGTGGACTTCTTCTGCCTGGTACCTTTTTTTAAACTTCTCTGCACGTGGCAGCGTGCACAGCTACAGTGCATGTGTACAACCAGGAAGTGTTCATCATTAAAGTCAAGGTAAGAACCACGTAGTTAGTGGAAAGACATGGAAACCTGATGTTTTGACTTGGATGTTATAATATTATGGATGACATAATATTATAATGTGAATAGCGTCAGTGGTTGTAAATAAATAGTTGTCAAATACATTTAACATATTTAATCTGATTTGAACAGATTTCAGATGTGAGTCTGGTAAAGACTCACATCTTTTCCCTCGGCTGTTTATTTACAGCCGAGGGAAAAGATCTGGTCTGGGTGATGACTGAGAGGAGCATTTCGAAGCAGGTTACAGTGAAGCAGCTGGAGAGGCGAGCTGGACAGAGGCAGAGTAGCAGCTGAGGGGCCAGGTTCACAGGAAGGTGAGCATCCAGGTGACTGTCTTTATTTACTGTAGCAGATCACTCAAATTCTTTCACACCTACTCAAGACTGATACGATTTGATGACCGTGAATCAAGACCAGCAAGACGTGTGACAGACAAACTTGCAGCCATAAGAGAGGTATGGGACAAGTGGGTGGAACGGTTGCCCTACCTCTACAATCCAGGGCCTGACGTAACAGTGGATGAGCAACTGGTTCCATTTAGAGGTAATCTGTTTTCATATTTGTAATAAAAGTGATTTTCACTATTGATTTCTTTGACTGTTTTCTGTGACACTGATACTAATCACTGATGCTAATGTCTTTTGTCCAAAGGTCATTGTCCTTTCCGGCAGTATATGCCC